TGGAAGAAGAGTCCCTATTTGTTAAACAAATAGTTATGAGGTATAGAATCTTAGCTAAAAAGCTCAGCGTTGGCAATATGAATGTGGTAATAGAACTGAAATTGAATAATTCTCTCCCTGTTCCTTTCACTGCTTTAGTTGGTCATTTAAGATCATAGACTGCTATGGGTATTTCTGTTCTTTCTTCCAAAAATCCAATCTTGTTTTTAAATAGCTTTTTGAAATAAGTTGGCTGCATAATCTTAGAAGAAAAAAGAAAGTTCCTCGCTATTGAACTGAAGAGAAACTAATTTATGACTCTCCGTTCTTGGTTTCTCTTTGTTCGAAATAATTGTGTTACTTTTTATCTAGTTTATTCTTGATATCAGAGGTTCAAAAATATTTCTTTTAACTTAAATCCTAGTTGAAATAATTTCCTGTTAAAACGGTAATAAAAAGAAAAATCTAATCAGGTAGTTATTCAAAAATTTCAACAGGACAAACAAAGCCGTTCCCCTCCCTGCGCATGTGTATTTCCCTTCCCTGAACGCACGCTGGACCACCACCTCCATCCTCACCACTACAGTTTAAATCTTTATTCTTAAGGGTTTCTTCATTTTCCATGGTTAGTGTCAGTACAGGTTAGTCTTCTAGTAAATTTCCATTTTGAATACTATTGAATAGCTCACTGAAAAGATAGCATGGATGGATTCCACCCCTCCTTATTTACATAACTAGTTGAAAATACAGATGCAAATCACAGCAATTAAAGTTCAATTTCAGATTTTTCAAAATATTGGCCATTTGTACATTCTCTAACCAGTCAACAAAACTTAAAGTTTTGTCTTAGTACCTAACGTCTGAAATATTAATTCTTCTCTTATTTTCCATTTTTATTTCTATTCTCTTCTTTGACTAGGATGCTGAAACTTTACATAGAAGACAATGTATTATTGAAATTTATGTCATTTGAGATCAGTATAAGATCACAAGTTTGTTTTTAATGTTTCTTAATTTATCACCTAGAAAATGAACAAAGGTTTGATCTTTCCTACTTAAGAAATCATATAGTTCTTAATGGAAGTGTATGAAGTATTAATAAAAGTGCATAAAATTGGAACAGAAAAAAATTACAACATATGTCCAGGTACACACTGCATGGAATTTCTTTTGTTTTGTTTTTTACATAAATGAAATCTTACATGGAAATCATCAGACAAAATACTCAGCTCATTTAGTGTCAGCCATAGTCATTATTATTAGTCATTATTATTATTTAAAGTTAAATTATATAGGGCTTATTGGGCATATTAAAGTCCCTTTGAATTTTTCTTTTTTTTTTTTTTTTTTTTTTTTTATTTCAGCAAGTTATGGGTGTACAGATGTCTAGGTTGGACTTTATTAGCATTCCATTCTGCTTCGGTTTGCCTTACCATAATTCTCTCTCTCTCTTTTTTTTTTTTTTTCCCAAATACAGCAGTGTCACAGAGTTCACTAAAAAGTAGAAATTTTTGTTTGCTTTCTTCAGGAAAATTATCTACAACATGTCAGCCTGAGATTCCAAATTTACCCTCTGTCCATTGTTGCACGCCATAGTATCATCCCTTATCACACCTCATCAGCAAATTACGTAACTCGTGTTGCAATCTTATTTCACAAGAACTTAATTTGTGTTAGAATCATATCCAGGAGGAATCACCAGGAGAAATCTTATTATTTGGTGCATTTTAATGATTTTCTCTACATTTTTACTTAGTAAACAAAGAATCCTGGATACTGCTCATTCACCTCCATCACTCATACTCAACACTGAGAAGGTAGCTCGGAAGGAAACTGATATTAGATTGTAAATCATTTTGAGCTGTTCCCTCATGTAAGGATCCTTTCTTACTAATCTTTCAAAATCAATACCGAGGCCAGGCGCGGTGGCTCACGCCTGTAATCCTAGCACTCTGGGAGGCCAAGGCGGGCGGATTGTTTGAGCTCAGGAGTTCGAGACCAACCTGAGCAAGAGCGAGACCC